CCTCCTCCGGCTTCGTTGAAATTCAACCCCTGGTTGCCCTCCCTTTCGCTCTTGGAGAGTGCATTCAAATGTTGTTTGCCTGCACGCTCGCATGCCGCGCAGGGCTTTAGTTAAGGTAATTTGAGAATTCTTTTATATTGAAAACGGTATAAAAAGTAATCCCCCAAAGTACTTGATTTTCCTTCCATGACATTCCACTGTATCACCCTACTTAGGCTTTGCCTCATTACCATGCTGCGGTGCTGTGAACGGAATTATTATAGTTCAGAAGGCAAAAAAAAGCAGGTTTGGCAGCCGCTGAGGGGGACTCGCCCCCAGTGGGCTACCACGTGCCCGGGGACCGCAGCGAGCCGCTCTGCCCTGGGAAGATCCCTTCCCTTCCCTCTCTCCCTCTGCTCCGTCCTCTTCAGGGCAGGACCAGCTTCTCTGCATTCAAATCCTGCTCAGCAAAACTCACACAGGTCAACAGCAGCTCATGGAAACCCTAAGTGTACCATTAAAACTGGTAGAACTGGTAAAACTGTAGATGGACCTGCCTGGGTTCCACTTCTGTGCTGAACCTCATGGGTTTGCATGCCAAGTTACAGTAGCCAAAACGCATTTCTGGGCACCCTAAGGGACAGCCCAGCACAGCATTAAAGCCCACTGCAATGCTCACAGCAGGACTCAGGCTGTTTTTGTCTATTAAATTAACAGTCAGAGACTCCGGTCTCAAAATAAAATGCCTTTTCATTAACCTTACCTAGTGGCAGAGTGAAACCAACACTGTCTGACTTGAAACCCCGTGGTGGTTCTTCTCTTCTTCAGTGTGTTTCTGCAAGAACCACTTCACCTCCACTCAAGAAACAGTAAATAACAAAAAAAAAACCCACAAAATTGGTATGGAGAGTATTTGGGCTGTCATTATAGCAAATGAGAGCAGTTATATCAAATCCTTTGAAATATGAACATTGCAACACTTTTTAATTTTTTTTTTTTAAAGTCTTCCTGGTTTGCATTTACGTAGCCCACACCAGGTGAGACTAGGATATAATTCACCTTTTTAGCTCCACCCTTTAGATCTATTTGTGTATCTGCAAAGCAGGAGGACAGAACCTCGCCACACACAGCTGCTCACAACCATGCTTTATATGCAGAATGCTTGGGGGCCACTCTATTTTTACAACTTCCATCCATAAAACAAGAAGCCAACTGCTTCTGGAAAGAGAACACAATTACCCTACAATGATATAACATCGGAATAAATTCAGCACAATCTGTGTAAGCAAAAGGAAAAATCAGCCACGCTTTCTTCCAGTTGGCAGTAGCTAATACTCAATAACCAGAGTCATATGCAGGTTGGCAACCAGGCAAAGCACCTACCTCATTTTGCATCTCCTTGTACCAAAGTAGAGACATATGGAAATGGAGCGGCTGGAACAAGGGAACTCTGAAGCAATGTCTTCAATAAATAAACGCCCGCACTTTGGCAGATGGAGAAAAGCACAGTAGGGAAGAACTATATTGCAGCAGAAACTTAATTTGAAATGATTCACAAAATATCACCCTGAACTTCGGAGTCAAGGCATTCCCGAGTCCTCCCATCCTGTCTTCACTGGGGAAAAGTCTCACAATAGAGAAGTGGGAAGGTGAGGGTAGATAGATACGTTTAATCAGATATATCAGATGTTTTTTCAAGGAGCAAAGAGATCATTGAACATTTTTGCTGCTTATTACATTCCCAAGCACATTTTTGGTAGCCTTCAGAAAGACACAACAATCCATTCCCCCAAATCCAGCAAGGCAGGACGAGGGAAGGCCTTCTCAAGCAGCAAGAGCTTGAGAACAATCCTGAGCCTCAATACAGTCACAGAGGTGCAAGGGACACACGCACCTTCCCTCAGTGACACAGTGGAGAGGCTGCATTAGATGCAAGAGCCGCCTTCCACGGTGACTCCTGCAGCAGCCTGGTCGTCTACAGGCAAACTGAACCCCTCTGCCTGATCCCTAGTCACTGTCAAACACAACAGATGAGGGGAGATGAACACGACCACATCTGGCTGCTAGGCTCCAGCCAGCACATCATTCCTCTCTTGGGATAAGGGGATCCCTTGTCTTGTCATCACAAAGACTTTCTCTGTCACTGCCAAAACATTCTCCTCTAACCTCAAGTAATGCTACAGGCTGAGAGCTGGCAAGGAAAGTATTCCTGCATCCCATTAGAAAATGCAACAAGACACATAAAATTCTGTGCAATGTTCACGTTACTCTTACACATGTGTGCACCATCACGTGTCTCTACCTCTTTCCTCTCCTCAGTGATAACTTAATACATAATAATTAAGACAAACTGTACCTCAGAATTAAGATAAATTGCATAAAGATACATAATGAGAAAGAGGTTCAACACTCTACTGTCACTCAAGGTCCTCAAAGGCAAGAAGAAAATAAAGAGTCTGACCTAAAGGGACATTTCAGCTCTTTGGAGCTTACTTCCGTGATGAGTTTACAACATACTAGCACATAGTGCAAGTAATCAGGATTTGCAGCAACCTTTTCGACTAAAACAAGCTGCCATCCTAGTAATTACCACTAACACACAGCAAAACAAAGTCCACCCTGTGACTACAGACTGATTCTCTTTGTGTCCATGCTGATCACGACAGTAAAAATAGAAGGGAGAGAGGCACACACACTAGGAATCCAGGTAAAAAATAAGAGAAGGAAGAGGGACACATGAGGAATCCAGGTGGGAGCATGCCAGATGAACCCTGTGGCCCTGAGCTCCTTGGCCAGCCATACGTACCAAGTACTGCACTTCTGCGAGACAACACTGGCTCACTGCTGTCCCTGTCACGAGTAGCCAAGTGGATGAGTTTCATGCTGCAATGCGAGGCCAAAGCAAAATTAACCTCCCGGTTATCGTCGTGCAGAGGGAGAAGAATTTAATTAAACTTCACTACTTTCCCTCAATAATAGGCTACCTTTTGTGACAAAGAATCTCCCCTTCTCTCCGAGAGTTCATCAGTGAATACTGCACATCTGATTTCATTTCTTTGCACTGCGCGGCTGCCCAACACCTCAGAACACAAATATCTGCAACACCCCATCCCCTCTCCCCAAGAGGCCCACACCAAGCACCGATCAAGAAAACCAGCAGGCAACGCGTTTCAAAGGAGCCCAATACCACGCTGTGCTGAAACCACTCAAGAGTCCATTTCAAACCAGTTACATCTTGGTCAGACAAGACCTCACCGTGGACCACAGCTGTTCTCCTTGGCTAAATCAGTGGCCTAGGTGAAGGACAGAGCCGGAGCAAGCGCGGCTGTTATTCCAGTGAGCCCACGGCTGTGGGCTTGCAGACAGACCCAAGCACACAGGCACACACACACTGGAAACGCAGGCGCGTTATCCTCACACGGAGGACACTCTGTAAATGTTTTGAAATACGGAATAGCAGCCACTATCAATCAAGAGAGCAGAGAACAGATGGGAAGGAGGCTGTGTTGAGAGAAAGGAGGCAAAGAGGAACACATATTTTCTCCCTCTCCTTCCTTGTTCTGATAATGACTCTGGATACGCTCATGCAAATCCCCAGGTACAAGTGGTTGCCATCCATGTATTCCCGAACATTGCCCGACCCTGGCTGCTTCCCCACCCCAGCATGGCAAAACCACAGACACCAGTGCATGTGCCAAATGCTGCAAGACCAGAAATAGGCATTTTCCCCTCTTTTTGTTTATTACAGTGTATTTCTTTCCTCCTAAATTATTCCACTCCTCAAACACCTCCTCTTGAAGAAAAATTCAAAGCTAGCCAAACTCTTTTTAACTTTTGGAAAAAAAAAATATCATATCTAAGTTTTTAGAAGAAAGCAACATTTACCTGATGGCTGCCATTTTGTCGAGGAAAACAACTGCTAAAATTCCAGGTTTCTCTTCGTTATTAAAAGTTAAATGTTAGAACTTGAATCCAGATTTATTAATGGATATCGTAACAAATTCGCTTCGTGCTGCAGATACCAGACATTTTGGGTGATGTTAATTTTAACCAAAACAATTTAAAAGTATTAGTAACTTCTGAATAAGTCTCAAGAAAAATCGAGTTCCAGATTCTCATTCACAGTAACCTCATTGTACACTATTTTGGTAGCACAAAGGAGCCTTTAAAATGGAAACAAGCTAAGGCCCTTTGCATTCCCGGATCCTGTCACTATTTGTGACTTGTTATTAATAACACGCTGTAAGTGCTGTACTCAAAACCTAAATATTGAGAGTAGCAAATGCAGACATAAAAAGCATTGTGCACTAGGGCTGGATTTACGGTCTATGCAGTTGTTGCAGCCCAGCTGAAGTGCAGCCTGTCTAGGAACTCTAATGGCTTAATTCTTGCTCCTGAAGATCTGCAGGTGGGCAGGGGCATTACATCCTGGTGAGCCAAGCAGGATGCAGCCCCTGAGACTGGCCATCCCACAGAGAGGAGCGATATTACCCTCCAGCCCCGAATGTTGTGATAGGTCTTTAAATGCAGTAGAACCGTGATGGTTCCCCCAGGAGTGGCATAAAGCAAGTGTTTATCTTCTCAGCAGTGTGTGGGCAGACAACTGATGGCGTATGAGAATATAATCAGCAGTACAGATTCAGCAGGGCTGAAAACCAGTCATGTGAAATTGGTAGTTACGAACCCTTGACTGCATGGTGAGCAGTGGGAGAGGCTGGAGAATTGTTCTGTGCTCAGATGGGGCACAGAGGGCGGCTGCTGCTTCTCCTTCTACGCTTTTTCTCAATGAGCCCATGTGAACAGTGAGTTGGGAAGACAGCCAGGAAAGAAAACTTGGACTTAGTACCAAGTAATCTACAATAGTCTAGACAGTCAAAGCAATACATATTTCAAAGCTACCCAATGTCCTTGGAAAAAGAAGGAAGCAACCAATCATATTTTCCTTTTTTTTTTTTTTTTTGGCATGGCATTTCTTTTGATTATTTATGAAACTGAGAAAAAGAACAGCATGAACTACTTACCTTGGCTATTTGGACACACCAGTTCAGCAGAAGTTGGGAGCCAATATTATCCTTATGCTCATGAACGTAATCCAACAGGCAGCCATGGGGCATCAGCTGCGTGACCAGCTGAATGGTTGGGCTCAAGCAGACACCAAGGAGTCTCACCAGGTGCGGGTGGTCCATGCTGGCCATGATAAGGGCTTCCTGTAACCACAGAAGGGACCCAGTTACTCCACTGTGTCTCAAGGCTAGATGCCCAGATCTCCTGTTCCCCATGAAGCATTGAAAGGAAATTGTAAATATGACAAATTTCCATGCTTTTCTGGCATTAGGCACTCCTAGACAAAACCTGCTTGGATGACAGGCATGTTATATGGTCCTAAACAACAGGTCAGAGTATCTGCGTAGCTCCACTGACATCAGGAACTTGGCATTGCCTCATATTCCCTGCTTTGTTACATACAGCCACAGAACTGAAGGTGCAAATGTGACACAGTTGATTTATATCTCTTTACAGACACTCTTTCTTGTTTTGTTTCCCTGAATTCAGTTTCTTGAATTTGTCTTCTGGTTTGTGGTCAATCCATCAGGTATCAACTCAGGCTTTTTTTCCATGCATATAAACCATGCCACTTAAACAGTTCTGTCCACAGTTAGGCCTAATTCTGCAAGAGATTTGATTATACTGTGCTGAAATGCTTTACTAGATCCAAGACTTAATGTTTACTATTTTACAGGCTTCAGCATTTAATATTCTTAAGTCACAAGATGATTTTAAAGGAAAATATCCCAAAACAGAGTTCAGCCTGCAAGAGGTTAAGAATCACGCGGTATAATGGAGGGTTTGCAAACGTGTCTGACGCAGCCCAGCAGGGCTACACTCCTGCTTCACAGAGATGCTGCCACAAGTAGAGCACTACACAAGTTCCCAGAGTCAGAGATCTGACCCTTCTAGTGCAACTCCTGGTCTTTGCAAGACCTCCCCAAGGGATCTCGGGTGAACCACTTCATTTTTCCAAGCTTCAACTTCTCACCCACTGCACAGGAGATAACACCCCTTCCTTTCTCCTATATTCCTTCTCCTTTCTGGATCTCGGGCTTGCAGAGGTTTTCAGCTAGCTGGTTGTCCAATACCAAGCACCAGAAGGACTTAACCTTGGTTAATGCATTCAGTCCTAAAATCTTACCTACAAATGTCCCAATGCCTGCAAGATATACAGGGCAAAGTACCATAGGACCTGGTAGCACCAAGTACCAATTTTCCCTATAAAAACCCTATACATTTGTTCTCACAGGTAAAGATGCCATCGTGAGCAATTGGATTTCAAAAAAAAATAGTCAGGGGAAAAAAACTCTTCTCTCATTCACCGAGCTAAGTCCACGATTTCAATAAAGATCACTCGCTCTGGGCAAAGAACAGTGAGACGGGAGGGGAAACACAGGCTTTGTAAAGCTATTTTGGCTCTCTCCTCCAAAAAAACAAAGAAAAAAAAAATAAACAGATACAACATCTTTCTGACAACTTATACAGCTAATAATAATGCCAGAGAAAGAAAGAAAGAAGGAAAAAAAGGATGAGAAAAAGTCGATATCAGAGAAACACAGCATCTCCCCTTCCCCCCCACCCCTCACAACTCATAAAACTGTTTTTTTTTCTTCCCTGTATTAAAGGAAATAAAGTCCTGGCAAGTAGGCTAAGTTTGTATTAAAGAAAATTGCTCATCACAGTACAAAGGATATTTGAAACCAAATTGCAGAGTATTTGCATAATAGTTCTCTTTCTTTCCCTTTTCTTCGATACGATAAAAAGCTGTTCAAGACACTAATTGTAGAGTCCCCTTCTCCCCCAAAAAGAAAAGAGCAGATGGTCTCCACTGGGGAGGGGGGAAAGTGTCTTCTTTCTTCTGGCATGTATGAGAAAAATAAAATAAACTCCTAAGTTCTATAAGATGACCCCATTTGGATGAGGAACGCCAAGGAAGACTCCAATCCTGCAAGTGAGACAGGGGATCTTCATCAAAGAAGTTTTGTTCCTGTTGAAATTAATGTAGTTCTTCCTTTCTTGAGTCTGTCTGGGGTCTCCTTGAAGCAATCTTACCTCTTTCTGCTGTCACGAGAAAATGTCACTGAAGGCCACCAGAATAAATGCATGTTGACAGGTGCATTATCCCATTTCAAAGAAGAAGATTACTCCACTGCGTATATATCTTTTTCATTTTTATTTTTACCCATTCATTTTTGTGCTGCAGATGCACTGGGGACAGGACTTGTTGTTCCCTCTCACTCAGGGCAAAGTTAAGAGTTGCTCCAGGAACTCAAAGTGGGACTACTTTTCTCCATAATCAGGCCTGATAAGAACATGGACAAGATACTCTTTTCACTCACCAAGGGCCCAAATGGAAAGCTTAGAAGCATGTGCTCCATTAGTCTCCAGCTACAAGCCATTTATAAGTCTATTTGAGTCAAAAGGAAAGACACTTCAGTAAAATAATAAAAGCAAGCAGTGTCATTTGTCTCATTCTGATATCACAGGGAAGTATCTATTCTTCCACTAGTTTGGGGCAATGGCTCTGGAAAAAAGATATTTTAAAAAAATGTTACAGTCTGTAATGAATCAGGACACACAACGTAACAAAAAGCAAGAAAACTTTCAATTAAGGGTCAAGTGCCTAACGGATGTTAAGTTACCATGAATCCTGCCTTCACATAATTGCCACAATTAGTAAAAATAGTGTTAATTTTATTGCGCTAGGACCTACAGGAGAACTCAAATGAGGGTTATGTGTATCCAGAACAGTACAAACACACACACAAATTAGATTGCTAGAGCCCAATTACACAAAGCACACAAGCAACAGCAACAGAAACACTGCGACTCGGCAGCGTTTTTAAAATCTGTTCTGCAGCTGAGGCACGGAGTCCTCTCCTGCAATCAGTTTGGATGCACAAGACCCTAAAGCCACAATTTCCATGGTATTTAGGCACTCTGCAGCCTGGCTTCCAATTAAATGTTCTGAAGCACTTCAGCAGCTAAGGCACCCAACTCTCCGAGTTAGCTCCCTGACACCCGCATCTCTGAAAACCCGTTTCTGCAATTCCCCTTATCTTCTGGTAGCCTTATATCCACAGATATCTTGTCTCTACGCTCAATTGGCAGAATTACAGGAATGATCTTGAAAATGGTACTTATCATCCCACTTTAATGACGAGGAAACTGAGGGAGAGAAAAACACAGCCCAGTACGCAGCCCTGTGGCAAGCGTGGAGTAGAGGTGGGAATGAGGCTCCAGGTCACTTCATCTCTCTGCCCTGGACAAAAACCCTCTGAAGCTGGAAATGAGAAGGAGGGCAGAGATGAAGATGTGAGACCACATCTCTGTGCCAGGAGTTAGAGCTTTTGGGACACCCTCGTGCCCGTACCGGAGGCAGGGAAGTCCTGGTGCCCTGGTCCTTCAGCTCCCGAGAGCTGCCTGTCGCTGCAAGGATACACACGGGCACAGAGCTACATCCAGGCTCAAGGCGCCAGTCCACAAAACCCACGAGGACAATTAGGCCCTCACTTCACACAGCTCCCTGCATCCACCTCCCTTCCTTAGACGGCTTTGAAAATCCTAACTAAAAGGGTTTCTTAATCTGTCTACCCTGGGCAGTCATGTTTGAAATAGCTTTAATTTCAGTGACACTGCTCCCGTGTAACTACAAACGCAACCAAGTCATCTCCTCCAGCAGACATATCCCACCCTGGATTGCTCTGCAAGGAGCAGAGCAGCACGGGGTCAAGCATCCCCCGCCAAGTCCAAAACCAGGCCCTGATGGAAACACGAACATCCTCAGGGAAGCAGGGACATACACATCGGTCAAGAGGCGTCCCCTCAGCGGCTTTACGGAGGGTTTAAGTCCTGTTAATCACTTGTGTCATTGCAGAGTCCTGAGCTAGGCCGGATGAACACGTGTATCTGACCAGAGCTTGGCAAGCCGGGACAAGGTCCAAAAAATCTTTGTTTTCCTCCCATTCTGCTTCTGTCTGTCTTGCCATAAAGCACCCTAAATCAAACAAAACATAAGAAACCACACACACACACACTCAAAACAAGTTTTTTTCTAATCACTGCTGAGCAAACAACACCACTTTAAAGCCGACTTCTCGGGATGCCGGGCGTTTTCCTGTAAGCCTAACTAACTGCGCTGTGGTGACAGGGAAAATGCTGCAGTGAATACGCTGCTTTTTTCATTCATTTCACAATGCTTCAAAGGCCAAGGCAAAGAAACCCGCCCGGACCTCATGCCTCACCTGCCTCAGGGCACATCCAATTACAGGCCAACACACTTGGAGTGCGTTTTGCTTGCAAGCCTCCTTGCTGATATACTCCAAACTTCCAGGCTACAGCTGACTTAGCCACGCGCAGGCTGCAGAAAAACTGAGAGTGACAGCACAACACATCTGCCCAACAACATACGTGGCTACGCCTATGTGACTGTGATAGCCCTTATTAAATTTCTCCTGTGCTTCCTCCGCCGGATGCCGCTTTCCATCGCTCTATTTCCACTGCTGTATTTCCTGCCTCTGGGATGAAGCTTTCCCCCAGGCAGACAGGTATTTTGGGGGAAGCTGCTGCGGAGGTGTCTCAGTCATTTCTGGGAATGAAAGGGGAGCTGCAGCCGTAGGGACCAACAGGGGATACCAGAGTCCTGCAGCGAGCAGCATTGCAGGGAGGGCAGGAACATCAACCACCACAGCTGCTTTTCCAGCAGCTGCTCCGGGCTCATCAGAGGCAGACGCATTTATCAGGGTGTTTTCAGGCAAAAGTCTTAGCTTGGCAATAGGTTACACGACCAGTTTTACTGCTGTGCACTAGTCAAGGGCAGCTGAGCAGTGCTGGGCAGGCCCGGTCCTGAGGAGGCAGGACGGCAACTCAGAAGCAAACCAAAGAGAATCCTTCTGGCAATCCACGTCCGTGCCCCAAGCAGAAAACACAGGCAAATGCCCGTGCATGAGCAGGTAGTTTCATGTGTGGTTGTTGTGTGGAAGCCTAACGACACATTCAGCCTTTACTTACATTCATACGACTGATTTTTCTGCATAGAAATATGATGTTTGGCAGTGCTGGATGTGGCTGTCCCAGTGTGGTGTAACCAGAGCTCTACCAAAGTCCTGATGTATTAAGGAAGTGGAAAGTGTTGCTGTCTGGTGCCCCCCTACACTCA